GTGTTCGCTCGTTTCTGATTATTTCCTAGCCTTGGAGATATTATATCTAACTTGCATCATCTGAATTTGTTTTAACTATATAAGGAAGCCCATCAACTAGAAAACTTGAATCTATTGGCTGGGCAACCAACTCCATGAGTTCCTTCTCTTTTTGGCCAAAAGCAAAAGCAGTGCTCACAGGCAGGTACCCCCAGGGCAGCCAGCCTTGTGGGGAAGTTTCAGGGTCCAGCTGAGGAGACCACCAGTCTGCATTACAACACACCTGGCTTAGGCTGACTGTACTCTGTCTTGCTTTGTTGTGTTGGAAACACAAAAATTGTACCAAAAAGAGTACTGGATGATGCAAATTGACTCGGGCAAACTCTTAATATGTGGTTAGGAAAAGAAAAAAAAAGGCTCAGTTTTAGGGTTTTATGTGTGTATTTGTAGTGAAGTGAAAACCACTTCCCAAGGCTCTGAGCGGGGAAAGATGGCACCTTGTGTGTCCCACAGTGCCATCAACAGCCTGCTTCACTCCAGCACAGAAATCTCAGTGGGTGTCTGTCCCTTCAGCAATCTAAACTCCTCTTGCCACTCTGAGAAGAAAGAGTAGCTTGGCTTGGAACACCTTTGTTTCTGTGCAGAGCTGGGAAGGGTGATTGCTGATTGCCACGTTATGTTTTGCAGCTATTGTCCAAGGAGACACACTGGAAGAAATCTACAACCAAGTGAAACAGATCATAGAGGAACAGTCTGGGCCTTACATCTGGGTTCCAGCAAAGGAAAAATTATGAAAACAGATTTTTATTTTTCATTTTCTAACTGACATCACCTACTCCATCTGACAACTCTTGAGCCCTTCCAGTGGAGCCTGCCTCTAGTTCTTTCCGGCGTGGTTCATACCCTAACCGTCACAATCTGCAGTTCCCATAATGCTTTACATTTGGTGTCTCTCTTAGTTTAAATAATTTGTATTATTGTGTGTTGTTGGTTTGCCATTTTTCAAACATGACAGTGGAATGGCCTGACCAGCTATTAGTTTGGGGTGGGGGTGGGAGGGAATTGCTTGGTAAAATTCCTTAATGTTTAAGGGAAAGTAACTTTCAAAGATTTTTCAAAAAAGCTTTATAGACATTCTTTTAAAATTTCATAACAATTGAAAGAAAAGTTGTATTCAAGGAAGTTGTGAATCATGAGTAACTTTGCACGCTTAACTTTAATAGCATGGTTTGGTCAGGGCGATCAGTTTCAAGTTTTATTTTCCAAGTTAAATTCTATTCTCACAGTATTTTTTTTTTTTCCAGGCAGTTAGAAAAAAAACTTTCAAATTTTGAGTTAACATTTTCATTAGCTCCCATTACTACTCCTTAAGGGATATTCATTTTCATAATTTCATATGGATATTCTTATAATCTATTTTTTCATTTTTTGCCAATAAAATTGCTAGGGACAAAGATGTGTAATGTTTTTAATCTTCCTCGTGAAACACTATTTATAGTGTCTTACAGAAATTGTTTATAGATGATGGTCATCACACTTTTTGAGCCTAAAATATGTTTAGGTGCTAGGAAACCTTGTATTTTTCAGAGGAATGCCAAATTTCCATTGGCAGTAATACAGAAAACAGCTGCAGAGATGGTCGTTAGGGCAATGAGAGAATGATTCATAGCCTAAAAATGTGTGTGTTCTTAGGGGTCAGATTTTAATGAATATTTTACCCACAATAACTGCCTATTTTGTTATAATAAATATATATATATTAAACTTTCTTTAACTAAACTCTGTAACTATGGGAATTATTTTCTTTACATAGTTGCGCACACGTATAAATATATATATATAAAATATATATTTTTCTTTTACCACCTACTCCTAGCTTTTTGTTTTGAATAAAAATACAAATTAGAATTTACCTTCCTTAATCATGAGAAATCAAATGGGCTGTGGTGGCTGGGCATTAAGTCCAGGGAATATTAGTTACAAGAAACAAAAAAAAAAACCACATGCAAGTTCTCCTCTTTTCTATGGAATTTCAGGTGTTTGTTTTCCCCACCCTTCCCGCCCTTGTAATATGCATGTCTTAACCAAAGGGAGAATTCAGAGTCACCAGTACATTTTATTTCTCTGTACATGCTCATCTCGGATCGCATCGGCACAAGATCTTCCACCTGCAGTGCACAAACTTCTGTGCTGAATGTTAGAAATGCGTTGTACCAAAACATGCAACTACCTTCTTTAATGAAATTCTCTGATTCCCGTATTATTTGGTACCTGCCATTGCTTGTTTGAAACTGATTGTTTGTAAGAGGGATGTACTCACAGCAGTCCCAGGGCAGTCACACAACCAAATCAGCTTTGGTTTGTAAAGAACTATCAACACTATCCATTCCATTTGTTAGAAAGAGGAGAACAGCTAATAAACTTTATTGTACAATATATTTGTCAAGTGTGTTTTTAATCAGAAGAAATACAAGTGTTTGTAGCATTTTCAAATATTTTACTCAAACTGTACATGAAAATCATGCATTAGAGCAGCACTGGTGACTAGATTTGGGCTAGTGAAGCAGGTTTAAACTTGGGACGCAAATACCGCTGCTGTTCTGTGGAATGCTTGTAAGACTTAGAGCAAGTGTAAGCTGTACGGCCCAAAATTTTTGTTTTTCTAGATTTGTGAAGTTGGTATGCTGTCCTTCTGAGATTCCTGCCTGTGGAAGTGCAAGGTGTATGAGGTTGATGCAGCTTTTGATAAATAACGTTATAAATTTTTAAAGAAGCTAAGAGTGTACAGTAGTCTGCTCCTTTGAAAGTGACTGATTATCTGAGGTGTATTGTGAGACATCTCAAAACAGACCAACTTAAAAAAAAACAGAAGTATCTGAATCTCAGCTAGCAAATCTGCAAACCATAATAACATCTGAGATCTCTATATTGTGTACACCTTTTTTTCACTGACCTCTTTTTTTTTAACCCATCAGGAAGAGTCCTGTTCAGCTGAGTAGATAGGTGAGGAATTACTCTTTCATATATCAGAGTGTCTGAACAACTTTCATAGACCATTCAGCATGTACCAGCCAGGTGTCACTGAATGCTGCACTCAGGCTGAAGCCCACAGTACTTACCTTGCATGGTTGTCATGCTAGAGTGAAAACAGGTTTGACATCAAGAAAACCCAGAGGACTCTGGGCTGTCTCCTTTGCCTTCCCTGCCTGCTAACCCAACTGTTTGTAACTGCTATCTAGAAGCATGCTTGATGTAGTATCTCAGGCACTCATTATTTTAAGTTATATTAATAATTTCCTTTGCAGTTGTTTTTGCTAAATTTTGCTGAAAATTAGGTTAAGGGATTTAATATCTCCTTAAAGCATATATACTCCTGAAGTTACAATTAAGGGAGAAAAATGAGCTAAATTGTCATGAACTGTGTTCGTGTGATGGTTTGGAGGGGGCTGCATTCAGAATAGGTCTCCTGTACCTGCTGATACAGGCTGCTCCACTACCTTCTGAACTTTTCCCACAGAGGATGGGAACCACCATAGGAGAGGCCTGGTACTGAACTAATTTCTTATTATCCTGCCTTTGCAGTCTTAAGCAACTGGTGCTAGGACTGTGCATCAGTCTTATGTAAGCCTCATTGCAAGCATCAGGGGGCTTGAGAGGTTAATCTGGCCAGTAGGAAGGGCACAGGAAGGATCCGAATAATGAATCCTTCCAGAAATTTGGAAGGACTCCAGTGGTGTCAGGTCATTCTTTAGCATTGTAGACAATAAAGGGACAACTAATTCCAGATGGTCTAGGCAGTCAAGAATCAGAGTTCATCCATAAGGTTTTGTTTAAGAGGTAGGTCTGGAGGGGTCATTATCTAATTTTTTTTAAGTTCTAAACTTGAAATAGCAATTAATAGACTTAAACTGAGCTGTTTTTTCTTACAGATGCTAGTAGGTGTTAAAGCTAGCAGCCTGGCCAAATGACAGGCAAGTAGCTAAGTAACTAACTTCTGAAAGCACCCACATGGCATTACTGGAGGTACGGCTCTCTGAAGGATGCCTGGGGTGGGTTGTTGGTGCATGCTCTGGGTAGAAGATGGTAATGAAGTGTGTATGGGGATTCATGGCAGTACACAGCCCTTCTTGTTCTGGTAGCTGAGTGCTGAGCTGGGAAACGGCTGTCAGCAGAGCACAGCAGCACTAAATGGCTTTTAACTAACTGTTACAGGCAGCTGCAGTTCATTGACTAATGAGAGATAAAGAAAAGGGCAGCACAAATGAGTGTTGCTCTGTGAAAGCTATTTTAAAAGTCACAACAGCTTATAACAGAGCTGTTGTCAGCAGAGTTTTTACTCTCTGGGAGAGAGAAGCTGTGCTGGCCCTTCTTTAAAACCTAAAAAAAAAAAAAACAAATAAAATCCAGCTCCTTCAGCTGTTTCATAGCACTTGCTGTGAAATTTCAGGAGATGTGCACTTTGCGTGCTCTGTGCCATCTGGAGAGTGTACAGGCTTTACTACTGTAAACACCTGGGCTTCTTGTTACAGCTTTATGGAGTTCATGACAATGTTGAGAATGTCACAAAAAAAGGTGACCAGCAGCTCTGTCAGATGAAGTGAATCTACCTTTGCTTCCTGAGCCCCAGCACATAGGCAATACACAGAAGTCGTATTTAAAGGGGATTTCTTTCCACAGCCTGCCTTGCCCCTGGGACTCCTTGTGTAGCTGTTTGCCTAAGGCTATAGGTGGTGCTAAAGCAGTAACAACCTCATTGGTGCCCCAGATATTTTGCAACTTCCTAGTCTGAATTTTTTTTGCAAGTGTAGAGGTGGTATGAAGAGAGGCAGGCTTTTTTTCCCCCTGTCATTATCAGGTGACATGTGCCAAGGTAAGCAAGATAAATTGTTGAACAAAGTGCACCTGCAATTGAACGCTGCTGATTTTCACGAAAAAGCAGGCTAGGGAGAACACACTTGCAGAAGCTTTGATCTCTGGCAATTCTGAAGGCTGAAAAAAGCACGGATCCCCAAATTTTCATGATGAAGAGCTTCAGAAATGTTTTCTGTCTTCTCTTCTTTCACACTGGTAAGTGCCCTCCAGAAACTTTTGCTGTGGTATGATGTCTTTGGGCTTGACTTCTATGTGATGTGAGAGAGCAGAGGGAAACTGGAACCATTTCAGAACCAGTTTCGTATGGCCAGGAAAGAAACAGAAAGAAAGAACAAAATAAAGTAGAAAAGGAATAGAAAAGCTGTATTGAACACCACGTACGTGTCTTGACTCATTGGTGTCAGATGTTGTATTTCCTCAGCACTGAGTCTACTTTTGTCTCAATGGTGTCTTTCTCACAAGTGTGAACAGTTCTGTGACACTTATTTTGTAAAAATAGAAATAATTACCTTATTCCACTTACCATGCTCTGGGCAAGATGTTGGCTTTCTCCTGTCAGAGTCCCAGATTCTAATGGCAAATACTTTTCATTTCACTGGAGGTGTGGATGCTATTTCTGAAGCACTCTGCAGTTCTTCAAAAAGAAATTGTCCTAGGTTTGGGGTTTTTTTTTTTTTTTACACAGTTTCAATTGAAAGCCCTTAATGGCTATTAATACACTATTTGATAAGACGTTACACAATCTAGTACTGTTACTTTCAGCAGAGGAGTTAAATGGATGTTTGCCAGTCATAAAGGTGTATGTGTGTGTAGCACTTTGAGAGTATTTGAAATGGAAGCTGGTAGATCCTGCCATTTCATGCTTTATATCTACAGAGAGACAGAAAGGACAAAATCATGAACCAGCATGGGTTCAGAGACTGACCTGCTGTTTTGAGATGTTCTTGGTTGGTAACAGGAGGCAAAGCTAACTACAGACCTTGTCTGTGCTCAAGCCCAGTTCAGATGGATTACTTGTAAGAAGGGAAACAGGAAATTGCCCAGGATCTGGCCTTCCTGTAACAACAAAGTTCAGCAGTTTGGAAAGGGACAAATTAATGAACTCTTTTAGGTGAATGAGGTTAAAAGCAACATATTGATGCTGTTTCAGTATTTTGGCTGAAATGGAGGTAAATGAGCTTTGTTTCATGTATCAGGTGTATATGGCTAATTTCTTCATACAGTTCATGCATTGTGTCCTGTGTGTTTGAAACCAGTGTTGAGGCTGGAGAATGGCACTTAGCCATACATACTGAGACTCCAATTTAATTTCCGTTTGCTTGTGTTGAGAAGAAAAACCCAAACCCCTTTAGCAATGAAAACTTAGCTTCTTCCTCCTTTCTCAAGGAACTAATGGTCAAAGCCTCACCCAGCTGGATGAGATAGACGTTAAGCTTCTATGAGGTGCCTTTTTACCATGACCCTGTGTTTTGCCAATGACTAGGCCTATCAGGAATGACACAGCCAGCAGAAAGACAAACCAGTAAGTGGACTGTATTGAATATAGAAAAGACATTCCATGAACGATTGCTGGGGGTACAAACAACTCAATTAGTTCACAAACAATCGACATTACCCCCAACAATCCCAACAAAGACATCACCTGACTGACAATAGGCGGAACAAACAAAGAACCAAGGCTTCCCATAGATGGAATGGGAAACAGCCAGATCAGGAAGTTGAACACATAAGATAAGGGTAGCCACATGGCCAGCTCTAACACTCCTAGCCCACATTTGCAAAGGTCCAAGCTGACCAGGGCCCAGTTCCAGGAGAGTCAGGAGGTCCTTCCTTACCCAGAAAGCTCTGTGAAGTGCATCGACTTCACAGGCAGATGCTCCTCCCTTCCTGCCAGTTGTCCCAGCTGTTATCCCCAAGCAGACACCTGATCTTTGTCAACTCAATGCGGGACCCCTGGGGCTCATTTCCCTTCTGGCTCTCCCTGCAGGGCCGGCTGCACCCTGGGGGGAAGCTATAAGGCAAACTCACCACCTCTTTATGAAGGGCTGTGGGAATCACCCATATGTCAACCTTAATTTGGGGCTCAGGGTTCAAACCCCAGCATTTCACCCTGGTGTGCCTTTCTTTTATCTTGGCTGTTAGAATTTCTGCAACTCAGAGGTGGGCAGTTGTTTCTCCCTCTGCTATCACATGCTGCCATGAAAACTTCCTGTAAGCTTTCCAAGTCTGACTTCATGTTTGTTGACAGCAGTAGAGCTGGCTCTGAGTTGCAATGGAACAAGCAAACACTTTCCTTCATTACTGGGTGCAAAACAAGCCTTATGGCATCAACAATCTCATGTATTTAGTCTGCAGCCCCTCAGTCAGAAAACATGCATGGCTGCTACTGATCACTCACTAATGGAGTAATTTTAGCTTTTAGATGTGGTATCTTAACTGCATGACAAGGGTGGGGAAGTAGAGAGTGAGTTAGAGTTTTTAGAAAACCACAGGACAAATAACATTCAGCAGACTCCAACTTAATCAAAATTGTGGCAGAGCAGTGGCATGTGGTGCCCTCTGCTTACAAAGGTGATCTGTGTGTTTGTCAGAGCTACAGCCACGCCGGTTCCGTGTGCTGACGTGGCCGTACAAAAGCCACAAATTGTAGCTTTGGCACCTGGAATTGTAGCGTTTGGGCCTGCTGAATGACCCCTTTTCTCACTGATTAATGGAATCTCCACTATTACACTTGAGTCTTTCCATTCATGTAATTGCCTTCCCCTTTTCATGACTGGAAATGGCCTCTTATGAAAGAGTGGTTTATGCAGGGACAAGTTTACTTTTCTGGCTTTGTTAATAAGCCTGGTGGCAAAGCTCTTGAGCACCTAAGATTGCTGTTTTTATTCAGACCTGAGAGCTGGGGCAGGACTCCAGGTACTAAATAGCAGTGTTGGAAACAGAATTGTCTTTGAATGGTCTCTTTAGTTTTGTAGTATATCATTTCAAATAATCACAGAATCATAGAATGGGTTGGGTTGGAATGAGCTTTAAAGATCATCCAGTTCCAGCTCTCCTGTCATGGGCAGAAAAACCTTCCACTAGACCAAGTTGCTCAAAGCCCCATCCAGGCTGGCCTAGAACACTGCCAGGGAGGGGGCATCCACAGCTTCTCTGGGCAACTTGTTCCAGTGTCTCACCACACTCACAGTAAAGAATTTTTCCCTAATATCTAAATCTACCCTCTTCCAGTTTAAGCCATTATTCCTTGTCCTATCACTATACTCCCTGATAAAAAGTCCTTCCCCATCTTTCCCCCCTTTACGTAGCAGAAGGCTACTCTAAGGTCTCTCTGGAGTCTTCTTCAGGCTGAACAACTCTCTCAGCCTGTCCTCATAAGAGAGATGTGATCAGTCCTCTGATCATCTTCATGGCCCTCCTCTGGACCCGCTCCAACAGGCTCAAGTCCTTCTTGTGCTGGGGGCTCCAGAGCTGGACACAGTGTTCCAGGTGGGGTCTCATGAGAGTAGAGTAGAAGGGGAGGATTGCCTCCCTTGACCTGCTGGCCACACTGCTTTTGATGCAGGCCAGGATGCCATTGGCCTTCTGGGATGTGAGTGCACATTGTTGGCTCATTCAGCTTTCCATCCACCAGCACCCCCAAGTCCTTCTCCACATGCTGGTCTCAATCCACTCACTGCCCAGCCTGTATCTGTGCGTGGGGTTGCCCCAGCCCAGGTGCAGGTCCTTGCACTTGGCCTTGTTGAACTTCACGACGTTTGTACAGGCCCACCTCTAAAGCCTGTCCAGATTCCAGTGTTCTGCAAGGTTCTAAGACTAGTCTGGATGTCCTGACCTATCCCATGGTACTGACGTTTCTTCTGTCAGAAACAAATGCTGTCGAGCTTCAGTATCTGAGTCTGAGCCTGTCCTATTCCAGTCCAAACAGCTTCAGTGTTCATGTTAGTCTGAATGAAAACAGGAACCATCTTGAAAGACTCACTGTTGAAAGAGACATGATTTCCTTCTGTTTTGGGAGGAGATACAGAATGAAGGATTCTCTGGGGTCTGTTAAGTGATTTGCCCCTGTACTCGGCACTGGTGAGACCACAGCTTTAGTACTATGTCCAGTTTTGGGCACCACAGTACAAGAAGGACATTGATGTGCTGGAGCAGGTCCAGAGAAGGGCAGTGAGGCTGGTGAGGGGTCTAGGCAACATGGCTTAGGAGCAGCTGAGGGAACTGGGGTTGTTTAGTCTGGAGAAGAGGAGGCTGAGGGGAGACCTTACCGCTTCCTACAGCTACCTGAAAGGAGGCTGTAGTGAGGTGAATGTTCTCTTCTCCCAGGTTACTAGTGATAGGATGAGAGGAAATGGGCTCAAGTTGTGCCAGGGGAGGTTTCAATTGGATATTAGGAAGAATTTCTTTACTGAAAGAGTGGTGAGGCATTGGAACAGGCTGCCCAGGGTCAGAGTCACCCTTGGGGGTGGAGTCACCATCCCTTGAGGTGTTCAGAAACCATGTAGGTGTGGCACTTGGGGACATAGCTTAATGGTCATGTTAGTGTTGGGTGATGGTTGGACTTGATGACCTTAGAGGTCTTTTCCAACCTTAAGGATTCCATGATTCTATGCTAAGCTCTGTTAGAAAGGCACCAATGTGTTTTATAGTTTTTTTCTCTTCTTGATGTGTTTGCAGCTCTCGGCCTGGAACGTGTCCGGTGGTGCGTGGTCTCTGAGCAAGAGCTTTCCAAGTGTAAAGACATGAGTGCAGCCTTTGGTGGGGCTGGCATTCTTCCCCCTCTGGAGTGTACAGAGGGGGGGTCAGCTGCTAACTGTACCCAGATGGTCAAGGTGAGTGTTGAGTGACAGCATTGTCATTGATTTAATCTCCCCACGTGATGACTAGTAATCCAGTGGCAGTGTGCACGGCTCTGTGGTGAGTGTCTGCAGATCCAGGCAGCTGTCCATGTGCTTCCCGGCATTCATGTCTCTGAAAAATAGAAGCATTTCTTTTTTTAAAACAGACATAAAGATATACATAGGAATCATGCCAGCATGGCTCTGTTTTGTCTGGCTACTCACATATGGCCAGTCATTAGGAATGCAGCAAAGGTCTTAAATGTTTCCTCCCAAATGCTAATCTTTGATTTGGGAATTGTGTCAGATTTATTTAGCAGATATTTAAGAAGAGATGGAGCTATAAGATACAGACAGTAGTTAAAGCTGTGCTGCTGAGCCTCTAAGTTGATTGTATTTTGATGAACTCTGCCTCAAACTCCCATTTCAGAGTCCCATCATGGAAAGTGCTGTATATATAGATGAGATGAGTGTAAAGCCAAATCAAATCTCCTCATACCAGAGTGCAAGAGAGGGACAAAGCAGCAAGTAGGGTGAGCAAAGGGCACACAAACCCAGCTGTATTAATTCAGCTGCCCAGAGTGTGCTCAGTTTCCAAAAGGAGCACGGCTCTGGGGGCAGTTTTAAAGACTGCAAATATGTGGCTTTGCAAGATGATGTGTGGAAAATAATTCCATCCTTCAGAGGCAGCAAGAGGCCACAAGTGTTTACTGGAGGAAATGTGGAGGCAGAAAATCGTGGTTGCCTCCACTGACAGGGCATGGGGGAAGGGGAGGATGGCTGTTTGTGTTACTAAATAAGATACTTTGTGTATCCTGTGTAGACATGCCCAAAAATGAGTGGTTAGTGGAGGAGATGTAACCTGTCAAAAGGACAAGAGGTTCAGAGCCGGGAAACGAGGATCAGCAGAGTAGTTTGAAGGCAGATGAGGCAGGTGGTTGTGTGACTGGAGAGAAAGGAACACATTTCAGATACTGTTCTGTCAACAGAACCAGGATTGTCTGAGTTACTGAAACTACCAGCTTACCTTTTGATAAATGCCCTTCTTGATCAAAGGAATCAAGATTGTATTGAAGAATGTTGGGAGCAGATATCGATATGTACATGGATCTTACCTCAGGATTAGACAGGAAATACTTTATAATGCCAGATCTTCCTAAAAGCTCTTGGCTGACTGCTGCATTCCAGAGGGCTCTGTTAGACTCCACACAGCAGGTTATTAAAAGGGCTGATGGGTGTCTGCTTCTGAAATAGAGTGCACACTTGTAAGCCATTGCAGGCAGCAGGCATCCGTCTACAACCTTGGAATCCTATAGAACTCGATGGGCTGAGCTTGGAAACCTGCAGGCACATAGCATGAGTAAGTAGCTTTCTGAGAAAATGAATCTTCACTGTAAGGCTTCAGACAAAGCCTTGTCCTTGAGACCTCTTTTCCCTTGTGCTAATAATCTACTTAATGTTTAAGCTGGCCTGCTCTGTGTAGGACTCTGTGGAACCCCCGAGTCTCCATCCACTCTGAACTCTGCCCTTTGAGGCCAAAAAGGGAGTTTGAATGCAATGCCTGAAGAGTTGGTAGTTTATAACACCACATAACTTGGACTTAGTCCTGTGAATGTGTTAGCACGTGGATAAAGTAAAAAAGCCTTTTTCTTTGAAGATGTTTAAAAATTGAGAAATGTCTAAATATTAAACTAGAGAACCTGGCAATATTTAATATGACCCCGAGCTATTCTTCAGCAGGTCTTTAAGCACTTCTGTGGCCAGTTCTCAAACATTGTGACACACAGAAATGAAGTGCCTCTGAAAATAATTAACAGGGTATTACCATTGCTCATACACTTATCAAAAAATTGTATGTGGAACAATCTTATGCTTTTGTTAAATGTATTGGCAAATGTTTGCCACAAAAGAAAACCCCAAACCTCATGCTGTTCTGTTATGCCACCTCAGCAGTGATTGCGTGCATTTAAAAGAGGGATCTGTAGTCTGTAAACTACTTCATGTTAAATACAATGGGCATTTTTTCTGTCTTGTTCTGTTATTTATAAACAAGGCATTTATAGGAGGCTCTTCTGCTAAACAGAGCTCAAAGGTTCAGCTTCCCAATCAGAACAGTGCTGTCTCACATAGAAATATATCCACATAATACAGCCCTTGTCTTCTATGTCCAGCCCTCCCCATGTTATCTGCTCTGTTTCCTGTCCACCACCAATTCTAGAGGCTCATTTTGTTCTCCCTGAGAGAAAGGTCCTTCTAACTTCCACGTCCTCTTCTTCCTCTCACTGTCAAGTGTCCTTTCTAAACTACAAGACGTGTCTGATTGCTGAACCGTCGTCCTGTGCTCTGACTCTCACCGGTGGAATATCAAATCTGGTTATTCCAGAAAGATTGTGTCTGTTGTTTAAGATGCAGGTATCTCCCAACTCCTCTCCAGGTTCCCTTGGAGCTTTATTCAGCTCTCGTTTATGAGAAGCAACTCTCAGGATCTATTGTTTCAGCTGATTAATGAATCATCTTTTTTTTCTCCCTTGAGACAAATAAGTAAAACATTTTAAATTATATGGCAACTTCAAATGTTAATTAGGTATCAACATCAGTGCATTACCTATGCTCTCACATGATCCCAGAACAAATTCCCAAGCTTTTTACGTGGCTCAGCCTGTGGGACATTGGTCTGGTATACTAGGCAGCAAGATTCTCTCTCCGGGCTTCTGCGAGGTCCAGCACACAGTGAGAGCTGAATCCCTCTCTGTGTACAGGAGCCCAGGCTGTGCCCAGGAGTTCTCCAGTGCTTGCTGCTCTGGGAAGCCCTGTCCCATGCTATCCACAGTGACCCTGCATGTGTAGAAGTACTCCAGCTGGCCTGCTGTTATAGAGAGCTGGACACCTTCCCAGCAGTGGATGCCCCAGATTTTTATTCCTCAACTTTGGATGGTCTTTTTAGATGCTTTCCTCCTCCTCTGGAATGCACTGCTGTCTGCTCCCTCTCTCCCAAAATATGTGGCTGTTTGTCTGCTGAGGTACAAGCCAGCATGCTCTGAGGTTGCTTTTGAGTACACTTGGGCATTTGGATTTTGCAGCCCCAGAAGGCATTACTTCAAACTATTTGTGTATGACCTCAAAAATACATTTACTTTATTTAAATCTTTAAGCTTTGGGGCACTAGCTGTAGAGATGAAACTACAAATCTGTGGGCCTCAAGATGCATCACAGATCTGCAGGATCCATTTCTAAGATTCCTTTGGACTGTGATGGCTAGTGAGGCCATCACGGTCCAGGCCTGGTTTCTGTATTATTTCTGAAGTAAGGTGGTTTTGAAGTTCTCAAATCCCACTTGGTAATTTTCTCCAGAAGTTTGAGTGCCCTTAAAAGAACTTTTTTGAGAAAACTCATAAATGCAGATTACAGAGTCTTTTCTCTTAAATTAGTGGGTACTCTGCTTCTGGCTGCTGAGAAATACTGATAATTGAGCATTCTGCCCTTGTATCTGCACAGGATGATTTGGCAGATGCAGTGACAGTGGATGGCCGTTTGATTTACCAGGCTGGAAAGGAGCATGGTCTGAAACCTGTGGTTGGGGAAGTGTATGATCAAGGTATATACTATATACGTGACTAAAAAACATTTAGATGAATTAATATGAGCTTTTTCTTATGTATTTTCTGCTTCCATTTTATTTTGGGGTCCTGCCCTTGAAGACTAAGCAGTAGGTAATGATCAGCTTTTTTCTGGGATCTTCCTGCCTGTAACAGAATGTGGGGGGCACAGGAGACACAGGGCTGTGGCAGCCTGAAACAGGTTTTTTTCAGTCTGTGCTGAAACAGCTAGGTCAGAATGGCTGCTCCTGTGATGGGTTTGCTGGGTTGGTTTTGGGGGTGGGGGTGTTTTATGTGTTTGTTTTGGGGTTTTTTGGTTTGGTTTTTTTTTTTTTTTTTTAAATTTTTGTTTTTTGTTTGGTTTTTTTTTACCTTCACTGTTCACTATTTTCTCTGTTCTGTACTTTGCAGATAAACTAATAAATTGCAAAGCATAAATAAGGTTTATCAATCCTGTAAATTAGAATAATTAGACTTTAGTTTTGATACTTTACATGATTACCTGCTGGCAGAGAGGAAGTGATAGATTCTGCTCCTTACCTGGGTGTCCTTAAGCTTTGAGTTCCTTTCCAGACGGAGACGGTAATTCACTGGTAACTTCTCATCCTGACTTAGGGCTCAGTGTCAGTATGTTTGTGTAGGTCAGAGCTGTAAGATGTCCCCCTTAACTTTGAAAGACCCAAGGGAACAGCTCTGGAAGCAGTCTGCAGACAGTGGTGTCCCACCACTCTATTGTGAGATGGAACTGGATGTGGTTTGCAGCTGGGTCTCAGTGGGATCTGGCCAAAGCATACTCAGAAGTGCCTGTTGGGCTCAGTCCACAGAGACTTGGACCACCTGAAGCATCACCACCACCTTCCCCTGTTAACCACATCATGACCCTGGTGAGGGAATTGTACTGCAGTTTCTCAAAATCAAATAGGCAACCTCTGGATCATGAAGCCTGTCTCCATTAGACAGGTTATGAGCTTGAATCAGAGAGAGGTGAATGAAATTTTAATGATTTCTGATCTAAACAAAGTCAGATTGAATGACTTGATGGTCACTTCAGACCCTAAACTCTTGACTCTTGAGTTGCATCAAACTAAAACAAAGGGAATGAAATCAGCTGTGATGTTCCAGTGACATCGACTTGCTATACTGTGTCAAAATTAAGATCAAATTAGACAACTGGAGAATATTTTCTTTTAACTGTTAATTATATTGTTTTCAATCCAAATGCATTGAGAATCATAGAAAATTTCTTCTTGGAAGGAACCACTGGATGTCTTTCATCCCACCTCCAGTGCAAAGCAGGTTGACCTTAGAAGTTAGAGCAGATTGCCTGTGGCCTTTAATTGAGAGATTTCACACTGAAAAGATAATGGAGAACATTCACAGTCAGATGGTTCTCGCCAAGGATGTGAACGACCTGACCTGCCTGTGGCTGGGGGAGCCCCGAGAGGCCATGAATCAGTGTATCTCACTGTGATGCAGCTGCAGGGCTACTTCCCGTGCTTCTCTTGCTTTCCACACTGCAGAGATTGGAACTGCCTATTACGCCGTGGCTGTGGTGAGGAAGAGCTCCAACATCACCATCAACAGCTTGAAGGGTGTCCGTTCATGTCACACGGGGATCAACAGAACTGCAGGCTGGGATGTGCCAGTGGGTTATCTAATTGACAGTGGGCGCCTGGCAGCAGTGGGATGTGACCTTCCAAAAGGTAAGAGTGGCAGGGCAAAGATCTGTTCTTCAGCAGTGCCTTTCCCTATGGCCTTGGGGGACCCTGTGTGTGGACAGAAATGTGTGATTCTAGATAGTCTTTCGTTCCTTGGCTTTGATGCTTCTTGTAAGATGGAATAGACTGAACAGAGGTATAATGAAGACTTCAAGTTTTGTGTTTTTCTTTTTTTTTTTTTTAACTTAGAAACCATATTTTAAGAAGAAAATTACTTATACCTTCTAAATATTTTTAGAGACATACTGTATAGATGTGTTAAAATGAGACTGTAGGATCTTGTTTGTTCATTGCTGAAAATTTCTTACTCCTGATTTCATATTTAGCTGTAAGTGACTATTTCAGTGCGAGCTGTGTTCCTGGAGCAAATGGCATAAACTATCCCCAGTCCCTCTGTCAGCTCTGCAGAGGGTCCCTGGCTGGGCAGAACAAATGTGAGCGAAACTCCCGAGAGCGATACTACGACTACAGTGGGGCTTTCAGGTAAAAAACATGGCTCTGGCAATTTTATCACCATGCTCTATCCATAGCCATTTTATCCAGGCCTCCCTGGCAGGAAACGGATGCCAGAGAACTTCCAGTTGATCATGTTACAAAATCTGTTGTTGTTTTAGGACAACCCTGCTTTAAACCTAGAGACTGAACAGAAGTAGTTCTACACCCACTAGTTCAGGTATTAATACCTGAATGTTGAAGCCAGATGGATACTTAGCACTTCTCCTGGGCAGGGACATCCCATTGCTGTTTGCTTTGTCCCGCAGCTGTTGACACAAGTCAGAGTATTTATTTCAGCAGGCTGAGTCTTTCCCAGTAAAACCTGACGACCCTTGGAGTCTGAGAGCTGAACTGCCGCCCTGCTCAGCTGTTTCAGTCGCCACACCTCAGCTGCTCTGAATTATTGAGTTGCTTTGCCCTCCATTTTTGCACACTGATACTTCTGTTATTTTCCTCCTTCCTATCAGTGTGCTGTGTTGCAGCTCCTGGTCCCTGTGTAAGGGCAGTGACCGAGCAAGGGCAGAATTTGCTCATATGAAACACTTTCTCCTTGTTGTGCGTTCCCCAAAGGATTGTGCGACTGTCTTAGACAGGGAGCACTCCTGGAGAAAGAAGGTCGTGGTGTTTGTCCCAGGCAGCACTGAACATGTTGCCCGTGTTCACCAAATTAAAGTGATAGTTCCCTTCATGCTCTAGCAGCCACTAGTCTCTGCCCTGAGCAAAACTCTCTGTGCACAGAAGTAGGTCAGTGTCTGGCTGGTGGAGGCATCTGGCTGCCAGCCAGTAGTGCCCAGTGTGTGGGAGCTGAGCTCTGTAACACAGCTCTGTGCTTGGATCCCTGTCTCTCAGGTGTTTGGCTGAAGGTGCTGGAGAAGTCGCTTTTGTGAAGCACAGCACAGTGCCTGAAAATACAGATGGTGAGTAATCCAGAAGCTTGTTGAGTAGTGGCTGCAAGGTCTGAAGCACAGTGTCTGTAATGATAGTATAATGTCAAATGTTCGATTTATTTTGAATTCAGAAGAAATGAAAAATTTGAGAATTGAGCAAAAAAATGTTCTAACAGCGAAAACAGATACACCCACAGATGTGTGCATCAGGAGATAGAGCAGTCCATATGATCCTTTTTTTTTTTTTTAATGCTTTATAGTTTCAGTAAAGGTAAGCTCATAAGCTTCTTCAGAAAAGAGAGCTTGAACAGTGCTAAATTCTTGGTTTCATACAGACCTGGGCTGTTTCCTTTCCCCTGCCTACCCAGGGATTTCAGCAGAAACTAGCAGAAGATTAACAAGATGTGGCCTGGCCTGTCTGGCACTTTGTGAAACCTACCTGGAACATACCATTACTTAAATATCATGGCCCTGTCTGACCATCATTCGCAGGGGAAAAAAAAATTAAAAAATGTTGCATATGATCCTAGACTTAGGGATGGTGCAGACCCCAGTACAGTTCCAGGTAGTCTTGCAAGTGTTAAGCAGTTTCTTACCTTATCAGACATAAAAGATTTAAAGACCACGTAGATGCATGGAATGTATCACGCAGTCAGGAATGAGTTCAGAGGTGCTCAGGAGACGTGTGTTCTGCTCCACACGTGTATGTGATTCTTAGAGCAGACGTGGAGCTGGAGGCATCAGCCCTGCCCGCTGCCTGCTCCATGAGCATATTCTGTGATGCCAGGAAGGAGTCTCTCTCCGTGGGCGCAGCGGCTCCGCTCCCGGGACTTCCAGCTCCTGTGCCGCGACGGCAGCAGGGCGGCCGTGGGCGAGTGGAGGAGCTGCCACCTGGCCCGCGTCCCAGCCCGCGCCGTGCTTCTGCGGCCCGACGCAGATGGGACAGTTCTCTTCCAGCTCCTCAACCAAGGACAAGTAGGACACCGTTCTTTCGTCAGCGTGTTGCGTTTCAGAGGAGTTCTCCCGCCTGTCGGGCTGAATACCCGGGCACCTTCAGCTCTGTGGGGTTTGAAGGGGTACGGGATGTCACATGTCCCGGGTGGAGGCATGTGTGACAGGTGCTTTTGTTCTTTGTTTAATATTACAGCAAAGATTTAATGGGGTAGGCACCAAGTTTCAGATGTTTGACTCGGCAGCCTATGGTGCCCAGAATCTTCTGTTCAGAGACTCCACTACAGAGCTTGTTGCAATCACAGCTCAGAATTACCAGGCATGGCTGGGTGACAAGTATCTTCATGCCATGCAAGCCCTGAGCTGCAGCCCCAAAAGTAAGTTGTCTTTAGATTGCTGTTCATAGCTGTGAACAAAAATAGCCAATAATGAAGACCATCATTATTCTATTTCTTTCTGACTCTTGGAGGGTTATGGCAAGATGCCAGTCTAATCTTTCAGCGTGGAGAATGGTCACTTTTTTGACCTAGAAACAGTATCCCATTGCAAAATACACCCCTGTGGAAGATGCAGGCATTTTCTGCCTTCTCTTGCTGTGTGTGAGACATGAATCTGGTAAGCTGCTCCTGTGACCTGGTAGTCCCATTTCTTACCTGCTAATGAGAGGAAGTAGTAATGTGTTGCTGTGTACATCCTCAGATAGCTGGTAATGGATGAATCGGTTCCTTGCAGAGAATTTCTTCCTGAATCTGAAGAAACCCTCAACTGCTCTTTATCGAAGTGTTACCTGTATTTCGTGCTCTCGAAAGAATGCAGAAATGATTTGATGTGTATTCTGGCAAACTCAGAAACAGAGGTTGTAAGAATCCCTGCCTTCAGAAGGTTAATAATGGTGGTATCTGAGCCTCACAGACATGCTCCGTGCTGTGGCAAAGCCCCCCACCTCCTGCTCATCTCTGGGGGCTGCTCAGTGACTGCCAGCTCTGAGAGGGGCTGTGTTCGAGGTGGGGTTTTGCTCTACTCAGCTAATACATTATGGCTGCACTTAATGGTCAGCAATTGTAGTTCTTGCCCATTTGCTAGGGATAGGTTTGCAGTGTGGACGTACCACTAATCTGGAGAGCTCTGTGGTTGCTAATTGGGTGTAAGTCTGAGCTAGAGAGACAGAGAGAAACACAGAAGTAAATATTTTTAATAAGATGTATAGTACCTTTGTGGTAGTGGGCAATGTGTGTCCCTCCTTGGCTATTACCAAGCACGTGAACTGTAGTGTTTGCTTTCCAATTTTGTGCAGCATTGCCAGAAAGCCTGACCTGGTGTGTTATATCCACTGAGGAGATTTGGAAATGTGGTGAAATGGCCGTTGCCTTTCAGAAAAAGAATTTGAAACCAGCAATTCAGTGTATTTCAGCTAAGACAAAGGAACAGTGCATGGAGCTGGTGCAGGTAGGCCGCTACAATCCTTCTGCAAGACACCAAGTTACCACAGGCTGCTCTCTGCTGGGTAGGTCAGGTCAGAGATAAGTGTGCTTAGATGACCAGTAGGAATATAGGGTTTCAAGGAGGTTTAGATGGTATGGAGGGGCCTGAACCCTGATGATCTGAACCCCGATGATCTGAACCCCTTACGATGAGGGCATTGTTGCTGAGCTAGCTCAAGCCTGTATGTATGAAATCTCCTGTCCCCATTTCACTGACAATTCTTTATGCAGGTTCTGGGGGTTTTGTTTAGCAGTGTATTGCTCTTTTTCTGTTAGACTTGCCCTATGAAACAGGTATGATGATAGTGTAGCAGGGAACACATCTGCTGTTTTTTCACAGGAATCCTAAATTTTATTTTGTTTTCCAGAAAAAGGAAAGTGATGCTGTAGTTCTGGGTGGAGCTGATATTTACACAGCTGGGAAGACATATGGCCTTGTACCAGCTGCTGGAGAAAGTTACTCTGGTAAGAAGGTCAGGAAACAAATATGGACCTTATTTTTCCAGGTTGTTTAAAAACAGCTCTAGAAGCACAGCCTTTGTTCCCTATCCCTGCTGGGAAAGCTGTTTTCAAAGGAAATGAGAAATATCCCCATGTCCTGGACAGAGAAGGAAATAAGTATGGACTGTGTTCCTACAGTGAATTTGGGGCAACTTTTACCTGTCTTGCTGCAGAACCATGTTGAGTATTTAGCAGTTTTAAATCGTCTATCTCATTTCTCTTTTCAATTCTAAAACAAAATATTTACAATGGCAAAAAACAGTATTCGCAAAATCAAAATATTTTTAACATTAGCAAAAATACAGAAATTACACAACATATTAGAGTTTGAAACGTTCTTCCTGTCAATGTGGCTGCTTCAGAGTCACTGATGAGAAGGCAGCTTTTGGACATTGTGTCACTAAGGCAGAATTTCAATATGCTGCAAAACTCACGGAAATTTTAGCACAGGTTTGAGGTTTCCCAAAAAAATAACTTCTTAAAGCAGTTTTCTGAAGACACTAATGACCCAGATGTTGTTTTTCAGAGAGATGTATTTACAAGAGCTGATGTTAACAAGAACACTCTCGTGTTGACCTCTAGATTATTCAGCCCAAGTGCACAGCAGTGCCACTGTAGAGGCTGTAGGTGAATGCAGCATTGTGAAGTAGAAGTGAAGAATAATCACATGTGCATTGATAATTGCTGACTAGCTGGTTGTTGGTGCAGTTGAAGTTGGCACCGTGTAAGTGTAACGGACCTGTAGGTGATCATTAAGCAGTGGGAATGCTTAAGGGAAGCTGTAATGCATTTTGTTTTTTTTCTGCCAGCTGATGACACCAGCAGTGCATACTATGCTGTGGCATTAGTGAAACGAAATGTGTCCAATGCATTCACCATCAGTGACCTGAAAGGGAAGAAGTCCTGCCACACGGGACTGGGGAGAACTGCTGGGTGGAATATCCCCATCGGGCTGCTGCTTAGGAGGGGTGTTATTAAGACCAGAGACTGTAATATTCCTCAAGGTAAGGCAACAGTGCTACATATCAATCTGTATAACAATCTAACTATGAACTTTCATTAGGGAAGTAATTTTGATATTTCACAGCTCTATATTAAGTTTATCTGTTTATGAGGGGTGTGTTGTTTTTAATGTAACAATTTGAAACGTTTGCCACCGGAGTAGACTAATGGGGAGGTCAAAACTGAGAATGTTACATTTAACATGAAAGTTCCTTTCCCTCTTTCCTTTACTACAAAATCATTGGCTAATTTAGGTGGGAAGGGACATTTGGAGGTCAGCTAGTCCAACCAACTGCTCAGAGCAGTTGCAGTTAGATCAGATTGCCCAGAGCTGTGTCTAGGCAAATTTTGAGTAACTCCTAGGATTGGGACTACACACAACCTTGCTTGGACCCCTGTCCCAGTGTTTAATTATCCCTGGTATAAAGACTTTTTTTCTTATATCAAAATTTTCCTTCGGGTAACTTCGGTCTGTTGCTTCTCAACGTTTTGCCCTGCATCTCTGAGAAGGATCTGGCTCTTTTGTCTTGAAAAACCTGCTGTGTAAATGAAGACAGCAATACGCTTAATTGTCTTATCTCCAGGCTGACCAAATCCAGCTCTAAGCCTGATATGTCACACACTTCAGCCCTCTGAGTGTCTTTCCACCACCTTTGCTCTAGAATGTCATTGTCTTTCTAACACTGGGAGCTCAAAGCTTGGCACAGATGTCAGAGGAGAATAATCGCTTCCCCTGACTGCTCCACTAACACAACCCAGTATGCCATTAGCCTCCACAGGCACAAAAGCATGCTGCTAAGTCTTGGCCGACTTGTTGTCCACCAGGATCCCCAGGTCCTTTATTTACAGAGCTGCTTTCCAGTCTTCCAGTCTCCAGCCTTTCACAGTCTTACTCCATCCTAAAAGCAGGACTCTGCATTCACCTTTGAACTTTGAGGTTCCTGTCAGCCTGTTTCTCCAGCCTGTCCAGACCCATCTCAATGGCAACACTGGCCTCCAGTGTATCTACCTGCAAAACCTTTATTCCATTTTTCAGAAATGCATTTAAAAAGATTATTGTTTTATTTAATCCACTTTAAGCTTATCATATGGTCTTGAAAATCCTGCCTTCATACCTGTCTCTCTCACCTCTTGCTTGAAGGTGTTGACCCAAGTCAGATGTCATAGGATAGCCACAGAACCTCACAGTGTCTATGCAGCCATGTCCCCTTGCAGTGGTACTTCAGCTCTGTGATGCCGTTGCAGTAACTGTATCCCTGTCCTGAACGTTACTGCACTTATTTTCAAACTGTGTTTAGTAATGGAGCTGTGTAGCACAAGCAAAGGATCTGTGACCATAAGATTACAGATCCAAATTTTGCCTGTGTGTTTCCTGTCTTCCAGGAAGCTCTTTGGTTTCATTACATAATCAGTTAAATAGTGCTTTGAGTATTTTTCAACAGTTGTAGTTTGTGAATTCAAGTAGGACAGCTGTAATGTATGACTCTGGTGTTCTGTAGAAACCCACATCAGTGATAACTTCATGACAGTGTAGCTGCCTTTCTTGGGCAGAGCTCACACTCTTCACTCATATTGGTCTGTCTTTGTTTGCCCAGCTGTGAGTGAGTTCTTCTCTGCCAGCTGTGTGCCCTCAGCTGCGCGGGACGGTTACCCGTTCCGACTCTGCCAGCTCTGTGTCGGAGATGACAGTGGGAACAGTAAATGCAGCGCGAGCAGCCAGGAGCGTTACTACAGCTACCGCGGGGCCTTCAGGTAACCGCCGCCTCCTGGTGGTTCAAACCACTTTCATCGTTCAGGGGCAGGTTCAGTACAGGTGACGGAAAACTGAACAAAATTAGCAGCAAATGAACAGTTTATTACAGAGGGTTGTAAATGGGGGAAGGCGGGATAACCCAAAGGGACCCAAAAATTATACAGAGAAACTTGTGACAAGCAGGGAAAATAACACGAAGGGGAAAAGGAAAAAAAAACAAACAAGAAAAGAGAGCTGCTCTCTCTATTAGATGGCTAGCTGAAAGAGCAGGGGGAAGGGTAGGAAGAACTGTCTCTCCCCCTTCCCTCTCTCCTGGAAGCACTTCTGGCCTTTCAGTCTCTGAAAAAACACACACAAAAAAATGAAAACAACTCCCTCCCAC